CTCACACACAGTATCGCCGCTATCTCTTCACACGCAGTGACTTCCATCTATTCACACACAGTGACTCTATCTCCGCTAACGCTGACTCTCCCTATCGCTATTTACTGTCTTTGGGGTCCGGCTCTCTATCTATTCTTCCATAACATTTCCAGCTGTCTTCTTCGTATCTCTTCACCTCTCGCCAACAACTGCCCAGCAACGACTCTCCAGCAACAACTCCCCAGCAGCAACTCTCCAACAGCAACTCCCCTCCGTTCAAACCACCTCGCGTTTTATTCCCTCTCGCATTAGCCTTAATTAATTGCCACGTGGCTCGCTGGCCGTTTCCCGCCAGCCCGCATTTGTCCCCTTCATCAGACATTCAGACGCCACCACTTAACGCTAACAGCCTCTCGACCAATCACAGCCCTCGTGCCACGACTCCCTTAATTACTTGGGTTTGTTTACGCCACTCGCGACTCGACCACCTGTTCGACCTCGTGTGACCCGTTCTCCTTGTCTGTCTGTATGTACTGTAAATGGCCAATTCCTATGCGCATTATCTACTCCACTACACAGTGATCAGCTACGGCAGAATAATTCGTTCTGCCGTGTTTCAAATCTGATTTGTGCTCGCGAATTCGGTTAGAGACATGTCCCTTAGTCTCCCCGATATAGCAATCGCCGCAGGTACAATTCAATTTGTAAACCCCCGGGTACTGTAAGTCAGGAATGACATCCTTCACGGATGGGATCAGATCACGAATATTGTGTACTGTATTGAACCGGACCTATTTCAATGCTAAATTATCCTGCTTTGATACGTAAACTCTTTTGTCAAGACGTTTCATGCCTCTCAACGAGCTTAAAAGACACTCATTATATAGTTTAGTGTATACCCATTTGCTTTGTGATTAATAGCCCAGCTTATTGAAGAATATATTAAGTACATTTATTATATTGATGTAATATAGACTTAGTTTTTTTCATATCGGTTTACTTTATGATAGTTGGTAGTTGGAAGCCTTTAGCGTCCATATACTAAATGCCTCTGTTGATAGGTAAACTTTTACTTTAACATAGCTCATTCTGTCACAAGCTAATCCCTCAGCTATTTCAATGCTAAATTCTCCTACTTTGATACTTAAACTCCTTTGTCAAGACATTTCATGCCTCTCACCGAGCTTAAAAGACACTCATTATATAGTGTATTGTATACCCAGTTGCTTTGTGATTAATAGCCGAGCTTATTGAAGAATATATTAAGTACATTTATTATATTATGTAATATAGACTTAGTTCTTTTCACATCGGTTTACTGTATGAAAGTTGGGTGGTTGGAGGCCTTTAGCGTCCATATACTAAATGCCTCTGTTGATAGATAAACTCTGACTTTATCATAGCTATTTCTGTCACAAGATAATCCCTCAGCTATTTCAATGCTAAATTCTCCTGCTTTGATACTTAAACTCCTTTGTCAACAGGTTTCACGCCTCTCACCGAGCTTAAAAAGACGCTACGCATCTTACCAACGTTCATTGGAGCACTGTCGTCCCTACAGTTCTGTTCTTTCACCTGATGAAGGCTACTTGTGTTGTGGCCGAAACGTCGTGTTTATTTTATCGTCTCATTTTATTTTATTATTATATTCTCATTCTACGTGACTTTACTGAAAGAACCAAAGAAGATGAATCCTTGCAGTCACGAAAGCTTTAAATCGAAATTTACGTCTGTCCTGTTATTAGTAATATTATATCCTATTCTCCTCTTGAATAAGATGACTCCTAAGGCTCCAAGTCCATTTCCTATACATGTCTTCAAGTTTGCTGTAAACTGCAATCTCGTGGGAGTTATTGAAGCTAAACACAAAGTCTTCTGGAAGCAATGCATTCCACAAATCTTGGATACGATTTTTCAATTCTGATATTTTTAAAACCTGATTTTTTGTCTTTATGATGCTGTCTTTAAGGTTTTTTTTTACATGTTGAAAGTAGCTTGGATTTGACGGAGCCATTGGAGGATCGTCTTCTCAAAAGTGAGAAAAGAAATGGATCTGAGAGTTCACGTCGAACCCAATCACCTCGTTAAATGATATAGTTTTGTACTGCTCCTGTTCTGCAGCCGTGCGAGTCATCTCGTCTAACGTATCCTGGAAGAGTCTCCTTCCATCCATGACATTTTATTTTACAGTCACATCCCCGACGTTTTGATGGACAAACACACAGCTTGGTGACAACTTCAACTGCTTCATTTTCAGAAATGCCTGCACAGCGATCTGTATTATGTTGTGCATCTCAGAGGGATTCACTCCAAAAGTATTGATCACGGTCATGTTTGCAAGGCCGATCACAAATGTAGCCAGTTCATTGTCAAGAGTGGGTGTCGCATTTGATAGCTCTGGGGCACAGAGCCATTCTGTGTCGACTATCAACACAAAGTCATATCCCAGCTCTTTGCTGAACTCTTCGTCCACCTTCAACAACTGCATGTGGACCCCTCGGGTGCATCTCCCAGCACCCACAGAGAACTGGAGACCGAACATTGCATTCAGCAGCGTGGACTTGCCACTGCTCTGTATGCCCAGTATGGAGAGGACAAATAGTTTTTTGTTCCCAATTTTTTCAATAACTTCGTCCAAAACTGAGCAATTCCAAGTGATGTGGACATGTGAGGCATCACCGTCCATTAGTTCAAGAGGGATCCCAGAGAGCATCAAATCTGCTGCGATGCCTGGCAAAGCAGCCGAGGGCTTGTCAGCTGTGCGCGGTGTCTGTGACGCTTCAAAGATCTGCCCAACTTCCCTGAAAAGGTGATGGATTCCAAAAGAGGATGCCTCATGTTTTTCTGATATTCGTTCCAGCTCTGCTTGTTGTATAGACAGTAACCTACTGCCAATAACTGTTCTCCTGGACTCAAGTATTCCTTTCGGAGCCTGGTGATACTCCTGATGAAGTTGTGATATGCTACCTGCAGACAGGTTATCTAAATAGATTTGTAGCCAATGCAGTGAGTATTGTTTTACTGAGTCTGCATGATGCCCCATATTATCAATGAACGATCTCATTAATTTATTGAGAGGAGATGCTTTGTGAAGCTGGGCTTCCCGTATTGATTGTTTTTCAATTTCAATGTTGTCCCTGTACTCTTCCACGCTTTGGTCCCCCTCTACTCTCAAGCGAGCGAATTATTTGTCTTTCTTGCACCACTCGTGCCACAATTTACCTTGAAGAGGCAGAAAAGTCTCCTTCATGGAAGACAATGGCTTGTCCTTCAGAAGACTCAATAAGACGCCTGCCATAGACTTGCCTTGTTTACATTGTTCATCATCTTCATCAACACTGAAGCCGCACTGTCTAGCGATGTCGAGCAATCATTAATTGCAACCGTTTGTTTTGATTTGGCCAACATATATTTGAGGGTTGACTTCAATTCATCCATTAGTTCAGCCTCATTTCTATTCTTGACACCAATTTTTACCTTTGTTTTATAATGTCCACCCAAGATTCGTTCTTTGTCAGCCCAAAGGCAAAGTAAAGGCTTTGGAGAATTTAGACAATCTACCAAAATGCTTTTAGCTTCATCATTGTTATCACAATCTGACATTAATATCACGTTGACAGTGGATATCTCGAGGAGAAACTGCACCTGCTTTTTGTGCTCTCTCGCATCTCCATGGAGATTTGTGAACGCTATGCAGTCATTAAAGACGTCATTATCCCTCCCACCTGGACAGTACCAGGCGATCTCTGTGACTCCTTCCATTAGGAGACCATTCTTGCTGCTGCCTCTGCAGTGTCTATGAAAGAAAACTTCATTCTTTTGCTTTCCAAGCAGAGAGTTCAGCATCTGAGATTTCGATGCGGGTGATTCACCAAACCTAATGAATGACACTAGAGGAGTGTCAGCGTTAACAATCGCACAGAGGTTGGTTTGCTCTGTCTCAGTAGATGCAGCACGGGATTTCCAGCTCTTTTTAATCTGTCGGAATGCCCATAGAGGGAATTCTATTTCTGAGCTACAAGGATTTGGAACTAAAAGCGGCAGTGCAAACTGGCAAAACGAGAGTTTGGTGTAAATGTACTGCCTCACAAAATTGTCTCCACAATGAAAAATTGCCATTTGCAAATCCATTGGGTGAACATGGCTTCGAGTTTCTGTCGTAGACCAATCTTGACTACTCACAATACCATCATGGTTAAAAAACTTTTCATAATTAGAGTTTTCATTCTGCATGGTTTCATTGTTTTCATTTTCACCCAGAACACTAACATACCGTGCTTCGGAGTCAAACATCATCAGTTTCTGCAAATAATGAAGAACAAGTTCTTCCTCTGTGATTGGGGCTTCTTTAAGTATTTCTGACTTAACAACACACATATGCTTTGTGTGCATTTGTTTCGGGTAGTATTCTTGAAGCCCAGTATGTTACACAGATTCATAAACGTTTTCATCCCCTCTGTTTCACTCTCAACCTTCGATGTCTGCGAAGGAGCCAATGTGATAGTCAGTGTCCCAGCAACAAGAGATTTCAAAGTTTCCTCGAGTCGGTTCCAATCAATGGGGCCTCCATCATAGACCAGCACCACGTTTGATACTTCGGTGCAGATGTTTGCATCCAAATAGGATTTCATGAACGTCAGATGTTCCTCTTTTTCCAGGGGGGTCCGTGAATTAGACTGTACTCCTGTAGTCAAACCGTTCAAGAGGACATACGCCTGAGCCTTGAGAGCACTTTGAGATTTGAGAGCTGAGTACTCGCTGTGTGCCGCGTCCACTTGGTGCTGAAGGCAGTTAACGTCTTCATAGTCGAGGAGGCGATCGAACGATCTCTCCTTTGTACGGAACCCTGAAGCAGCAGCACAAGAAATGAACAGGAGCTCCTCCTCCATCCGCTCCATTTCTCGGAAGCACCGGCAAAGGGAATTGAGGGAAAATGTGATTTCATTGGTTCCCTTCACCTTTCCTTCATTCAGTGCAGTTTCAAAAGAAGTCGGTGCATCCATCGCTTCTTTTAATTGTTTCTTTGTTTCTGTAAATGTCTTGCCAAGGGCATTTAGCTCAGCAATTGACAACAATTGCAGATTCCCACTGAGGGAGATTATGTACATCAGGATTACCCCCTGTTGTGGTTACCGTCATCTGTATCACATCGGTGAGCACCGGGCTGTAATGTCCAGAATCACTTGGAGCTGGCTCAGTTGTCATTGCAGTACCTGTATCAGTCGTTGTACTACTGCCGCAGTCGGCACCAATGTTTGGTTCGAATAACTCAGACAAGAGCAGTTTTATTTCATCTTGCTGATGTAAACTGAAACCTTTAGCTGATGCCTTCCTCCAAAAAATTCCTCCAAATTGGAGAGGACCCTCGTTTGCGTGAGAGCCAAAATTGTGGAAGAATTTGCAGCTCATGCTGGAAAACACGTTGCTTTTAAAATCTTCCTTTGTATTTTCCAACGTATTCTCAATCATTTGTAGCTCCTTCAGGGCTGCTTCAGACAGCCTGAGTTGTGCCATATGAAGATTACCTGAGGCTAGGGGCAGGTACGTAAACTCTGTCCTGGAAAGATAGGAATGATCAGTCTGAGTATTTTGCATTTCCTTAAGATTCATTGATTTGACTTGCATTAAGGCTGGTTTTCTACTCAAGGACGAGACGCATCCTTTCTCGGAGACAGTGCTGCTGAAGCCCATGACTTCCATGGTCTTCCTGAACATGGATTCATCATTGAAAGAAATAAACTCGTGTTGTTTTGTCTCTGACCTGCCGACCAGACCCACGAGCCGGAATGTTTGTGGGCTCGTCAAGAGTTTTCCTCTCTTTTCTAATGCATCCTCTAACTTTCCACTCATATAAACCCCCTCTAGAGCAAGACCCCCTGATGCGTTTTGTAAAATCTCTGTATCTGACAAACAATGTGTTGAAACAGATGGACATATTTCTTGGGCAGGCTCGTGAATTCTCTCAGACACGACAGAAGGCAACAGATTATCAATTTGTATATGTGGAGCCAAGCTCACTGCCTTTTTAGCACTGACAACACCATCAGCAGCAACAATGCCAAGCATTTTATAAAATGCCCGCTTTTCCCACTCTTTACGGAAATGTGAGTCCAGTTCTCTGCTGTCCTGCTGGTCGAGGTGAAGCAGGGCCTGTGCATTAGAAATGAGCAGAACCTCACGCAGTTTCTGTTTCCAGTAAACTGTGTCAAGACCCACATCTCTGAGCTTTTGTGCAAGTTCATCGTCAGCCTGGCTTCTGCATTCCTCTTCGTCCTCTCCAGACATCGCCTAGGGAAAGGCACGTTATTACAATTACAATGTTTTACAACAAAAACTTTAAAATAGTAAAAAATATAAGAAACTCGTCAGAGAAGTGCGTTGTAAAAACATAAATGATAAGTGCATGCACATCATGGCAAGGGTACACAGTCGCTGTACCTCTCGTTGCCCAGGAACCAGATAAATAACATTGTGAGCACATACTCTTTGGTTCTATTGGGTAAAGTCACGTAGGTGAAAATAAAATAACAAAAAATCACGACGTTTCGGCCACAACACAAGCGGCCTTCATCAGGTGAAGGGACGAGACTGTCTGGAGGACAGCGCTGGAGTGGAAGCTTTAAATCTAGAATTGTGAGCACAATGAGCCATCGATCAGCCTCCCATATGTACATTCCTGTGGTACAGCGATGGAAAGCGTGTACACTGTACGACGTATAACTGTCTTTGACCATTAAGTATGTATGTGTAATGAGTCCACCGGATGAAAGTTGAGATGAAACACTCCTCTTTATTTTCAACATCAGCTCACGCTGCGTGTGACCACTCAACTCAAAATCCCAACAGGAAGCGCCCCAATCGCCCTGCCTCTTTCAGTGACGTCACCACTCCCCTGCTGGACGTTTCTCTCACACTCCGCCTTCTCTCTCTTTTCGTTCGTGACGTCATTTTAACAGTAACCTGGGATCCTCCAGATCGTGTAAGTGTAATGACTGAAAATTACCCCAAACCAAGGTGCAGCCTAACGGCTATTAAAAAAATGAACCAAAGTATCAACAAGGTTAAATTTTGATTTAAAGCTTTCGTGACTGCAAGGATTCATCTTCCCTGGTTCTTTCGGTAAAGTCACGTAGAATGAGAATAAAATAATAAATTGATAAAATAAAATAACACAATAATATTCTCACGACGTTTCGGCCACAACACAAGCGGCCTTCATCAGGTGAAGGGGACGAGACTGTCTGGAGGACAGCGCTGGAGTGAGAAAGCCACGCTGAGATCACGACCTTTAAGCTGTGTGAGAAGAAACAAAGTGCCTTGACAAAGGAATTAGCATATAATTTAGCATTGAAATGGCTGAGTGATTAGCTTGTGACTGGTCACAGAAAAGGCTAAGTTAAAGTTAAAGCATACACATCCGCAAAGGCACCCCTTGACAAAGGAATAAGGATAGAATTTAGCATTGAAATAGCTAAGTTAAAGTATATACATCCGCAGAGGCACTCCTTGACAAAGGAATTAGCATAAAATTTAGCATTGAAATAGCTGAGTGATTAGCTTGTAACTGGTCACAGAAATAGCTATGTTAAAGTCAGAGTATATGCATTCACCGAGGCACCTAGTACAAATCAAACAGGATAATTTAGCATTGAAATAACTAGGCGAATTTAGCATTGAAATAACTGAGTGAATTAGCTTGTGACTGGTCACAGAAAAGGCTATGTTGAACTTAAGGCCTACACATCTGAGCTATTCACAGTAACTGGGTATACAATACAATAAATAATGAATACTATATAGTGAGCCAATAAAAAAAATACTAAAATATAAATTACCTCAATGTTATCAATAAACTCTATATTCTCCAATCAGCTAAGCTACCAACAATAAGTCGTTATATATCACAATGCTATATGGCGAAAAATGGGTGGATTCTTACCCTCAACTTTAGCAACACGGATAGATACGGGTCCCGTTCTGTGTTGCTAAAGTTGAGGGTAAGAATCCACCCATTTTTCGCCATATAGCATTGTGATATATAACGACTTATTGTTGGTAGCTTAGCTGATTGGAGAATATAGAGTTTATTGATAACATTGAGGTAATTTATATATTCTAGTATTTTTTTTATTGGTTCACTATATAGTATTCATTATATATTGTATTGTATACCCAGTTACTGTGAATAGCTCAGATGTGTAGGCCTTAACTTCAACATAGCCTTTTCTGTGTCCAGTCACAAGCTAATTCACTCAGTTATTTCAATGCTAAATTCGCCTAGTTATTTCAATGCTAAATTCTCCTGTTTGATTTGTACTAGGTGCCTCGGTGAATGTATATGCTCTGACTTTAACATAGCAATTTCTGTGACCAGTTACAAGCTAATCACTCAGCTATTTCAATGCTAAATTCTATGCTAATTCCTTTGTCAAGGAGTGCCTCTGCGGATGTGTATACTTTAACTTAGCTATTTCAATGCTAAATTCTATGCTAATTCCTTTGTCAAGGGGTGCCTTTGCGGATGTGTATGCTTTAACTTTAACATAGCCTTTTCTGTGACCAGTCACAAGCTAATCACTCAGCCATTTCAATGCTAAATTATATGCTAATTCCTTTGTCAAGCCGCTTTGTTTCTTCTCACACAGCTTAAAGGTCGTGATCTCAGCGTGGCTCTCACTCCAGCGCTGTCCTCCAGACAGTCTCGTTCCCTTCACCTGATGAAGGCCGCTTGTGTTGTGGCCGAAACGTCGTGAGAATATTATTGTGTTATTTAGTTTTATCAATTTATTATTTTATTCTCATTCTACGTGACTTTACCGAAAGAAACAAAGAAGATATCAACAAGGTCTCAACAGGGATTGGTCAGGAGGCAGGCTTTTGAAGTGATTGTACGGAAAGTTTTTAATGAGAATAGGCAGGAAACAAAGCAGAACCCAGAGGCGACGGTTTGGCTCCATTAGAGGGAAAGTTCAGCGATTTTCCGAGAGAAATAGGATGAGGGAACATTTGAGAAAGGGGGCTGAGGGATATATAAGGGGAAAGCACGAGGAGTAGGGTCGTTCGGAGGAAGACACAAGCTGGAAGACACCAAAGAAGCCAAGGGTCCCTTATTGTGTAATTCCGTAATAGGGTTCCTTATGATGTCAACTCAATAAAAGTGGCTCTTCTTATTCCTAGTCGTCGGAGTCATTCAGTAAGTATTAACACTACATATGTATGTATAACTTATTTTGCACCATATGTAGCCTACCGTGCTAATAGACGTGTTGATGGACAACTTACCACAAAAAGCAGTTCTAAAGAAATCAGTTTTAATCTATATTTAAAAGTGCATAGCTCCAGTGGCTTCCTAATATTTGAAGGAAGGGCGTTTCAGATGACCACAGAAGCACATCTGAAAGCACACAATGCAGTGACCATCTTTGTTTGATCACTCACCAAAAGCCTCTTCGAGGATGACTGGAGTTCGAGTGATTAATTAGGTTCCTTGACAAGCTCAGAAAGGTATTGTTAATTTATGGCAAGCACTTTGTGTATAATGAGTGTGACCTTATTTATCATTTCGGCAACAGGAAGCCAATGCAGCTCGGGGTGCACTAGATGGACATGGTCGGATCTTATAGTACCCATCACAACACGTTCGAATGAATTCTGATTTTGAGCTCTAAATCGCCCTACACACTTTCGCCACGGATGACACATTATCCAACCAATCGCAAGGAGTGGCTGCTTCCGCCAATATTTGATGCAGAATATGTACTGTGTGCGTCAGTACGTACGCACAGTCGCTGCTTCTCGCAGTGCTGCAGGCCGACGCTGCTCGGCCTGAGCCGACACTGCCCGGCCCGCACAGTCGCTGCTCCCTGCAACACCGCTCAGCGAGGCTGCTTGGCCTGCACAGCCACCGCTCCTGCAGCACCTGAGTGGTGGCCATTCCCGGCGGCACCGTGGGCTGGCGCTGCACAACCTGGATGGGGGCTGCTCCCTGCACCACCACTCGCTGAACTGGCCCAAGCACTTGCTGAGCCACCGTGGCCACCAGCTGAACCACTGTGGGCGCTCGTTGGCCGCAGTGGGCCCTTGCTGGGTGAGCAGGCCGGCTGGAGCCAGTCGGGGAGTTCACGGCCGGTGGAGGCAGCCTCTTTGCGGATCTTCAGGGCTGCGATAGAAGTCGATGGGTGGAGGGAAGGGGAGGTGCTCCAGGTGCTGCCCGCTGCGCTGGGTGGCGATTTCTGGTTTAGTGTGGAGTGGGGGTGCTCTTGGGCCTGCGGGTTGCCGTGCCAAATAGTGTTGTAAAGAGGGCCTGAAGACATCTGCCCCAGCAAGGTGCTGCTACCATGCTCTCACCCTCTCCTCCTCAGACACGGCCACAATGGAGATAGAGGAGGTTCTGCCGGTTTTGAGTTCTGGCAGGATGGGGGTGTCGGGCGGACTCAGGGTCATCCAGGCATGCGCTGGGGAGCTGTGTCACCAGGACAGGCATACCGTTTCAACCACACGCGGGTGGACTAAATGCATAACAATTTTGTGGAGGCAATGCACCTGGTTGTGTTGGTAGGTTGTGCATGGGTGTTTTACTTAATTTGGCACTAAGCGCAGGGGTAATCTAATTTAGTTGGGCTTGCGAAATGCAGTCCATAATCAGCCGTGGTGCCTTTTCCCCTTTTCGAGGGCCTGTGTTTGGCATTGACCAAGGATGCTGAGAGTTGAATCTCATCACTTTTGGGGGGTTGAATTCCATGACCCCTGGCCTTGTAGCCTTGTGCTGTTTGAGCCTTTTTGTACTCATGCTTCAGGGTGAGATACCCCGTGGCAGTCAGAGAGAAGTCTTCCTTCTCTCTTGTGCATGCCCATGGCCCAGGGGCTTATCAATGTCTTGCGTAGGTCCAAGATTGTTGTCTTTAAAACAGTTATTGGACGTCCTATATTATAACAAGCGTTTATAGCTGGAATCCTGGGCTTATGGCGGTTGGGGCTTGCAGTAACCGTGCCTCAGGGTGAGCAATCCCATGGTGGACAGAGAGAGAGGTTTCTTCTCTCTTGTGCATTCCCATAGCACACAGGCTTATTCATTTATTGCGTTGGGCCAAGACTGTTGTCTTAAAAACAATTGGACATCTCCTACCATTGGAGGAAATGTTATAGCCGGGACGGCTGTTTTTTCGCTGGGGGGAGGGGGGTGATGAGAACCGTTACACATAGCTACTAAATATTTTGGAAATATAAATAACAGGTTTTGGAAAGATTATTAATAACACGGGTGGCTGGATGTCTAACATCCGGAGATG